CAGCCACACCCTCAACTGCTTCTTCTTACCACGTTTTGTTGACAGCAGTCTAGATTTGATCTTTGTCCTGGAGCCATTTTTAACTTTAGCATCATTTTACTATCTAGGAAGTCTAGTATTTTAAAAAGTAGCAATTTTCATCTCTCTTATGCTTCATAGACCTTCCTTTAGTTTGTATCTCTTCTTTTCCATCTTACTATAAACAACAAGTAAAACCTATGTGATGCCTTTAGCAGTCTGTCTGGAAATGTTATTAGCTAGATCTGACAGTTCCCTGGGTACACTTTGTACTTCAACAACACTTTCACCAGTTGACCAGCTGGGGCAGGTATCTAGGAAAAGTCGAGTGCTTGTTTACCTGGCCAGTGACCTGGTCTCACAAGCACTAAGTATGCTTATCCATCAAAGGAAATGGCCACTAAAAATGCATGAAATAAAGTGATTTCCATGGCTGGAGAAGTGGGTGAGGTGGGTATGGTTTCTGAGGTCAACACATAAAATTCTCTGTAATACCAACTAGTTTAAACATTGTGCTTTACAATTTCCAAAGCACTTTCACACACATTTCTATGTGACTGTGCAGTATTTCTTTTGAGACAGTCATTGTGGATTACTGAATAATTGGATATTTTGGTAGGTACTTGTTTGCATGAGTCAGAAGCAAAGTTAGAGCTGATTAACATTCTATGAAATATTCTCAATAAACGTCAACATTGGAAAACATAAAAATTGAGCAATACGCATATACGTTTAATAAATGATACCTATTTCAATTCAATACGTTGGTATTAGATTCAGTCATTCAGTGTTGTTTTCAAAGCTCTGACCTCTCATGGAGAAGGCGGCAGTATATACAGCTCTCTATAATACAAAGCAAAGTATCTTCATATACACAACAGAGAAACTAACTAGTTTTACTGAAGCTCACTTAAAACATGAAGGAGAAAACTCCAGAATTAAACTCATTTTCCCACCATTTTTTCTAGTTTTTCCCCAAGGTATTTGTTTAATGATTAATGGCGGAGGAGTGGGACATTATGCCCCATGTATGCTGAGGAAAAGAGCAATGCGGATAAAATAAGCAGATGAATAAAAAGGAAAGAATCAGACCAGCCTGCAAGGCAGGCTACGGTGTCAGGGTGAAAAAAATCTAAAAATGAGGAAAAAAAAAAAGATGAGTTTAAAGAATGTAACTAAACACAGGATATGATACAGCCTACTGTACAGTGATTACAAATGAGATGATAAATGGGAGAATTGCCCATTTATTTTTTCAATGACTGTTTTAATGCACTCTGGTCAAAATGTAGACTGGTAAATAAAACACAAAATCTAGGAATAAAAAAGGAAGGGACATAAATTATTCTTATTTCTAAACATTGTCATTAGTTTTTAAATTGAAATTATATACAAATCATTCATGTGGTGTTCACAACGTCAGGAAAAAATATCTTCTCTGCATCTGCTACATCACGTTCAGGTCTACTGTGTTGACATCAGAGAAATAAGACTTTGCAATGGGTAAAATTCAAACTTTTAAATCTCTAGAAAAATTAAAATTCAGATTTTGAAGTTAATTTCTTTCATTTCATAAGATGGATTTTTGGTGTTTTTTCACATAAATGTAAGAGTTCTATGGAAAGAAAAATAGTGAACAAGAAACTAGATGGTGTTCACCTTGCTTCTCATGTAACTAGTGCCCTGCGGTAATCTGGGTGAGCTACGTCTGCACAAACACATATTTCTCCCTGAAAACAGGAAGAAAATTAGCAAGAAAATTAAACACATATTATTTCCTGACCTCTGCTCTGTGTTGATTACTGAAAGAAAGGAGACTTTAAGAACATAAGATACGGCCGGGCGCGGTGGTTCATGCCTGTAATCCAGCACTTCGAGAGGCTGAGGCGGATGGATTACCTGGGGTCAGGAGTTCGAGATCAGCCTGGCCAACATGGTGAAACCCCGTCGCTACTAAAAATATAAAAATTAGCCTGGTGCGGTGGCAGGTGTTTGTAATCCCAGCTACTCGGGAGGCTGAGGCAGGAGAATCACTTGCACCCGGGAGGCAGAGGTTGCAGTGAGCCGAGATGGCGCCATTGCACTCCAGCCTGGGTGACAGAGCGAGACTCCGTCTCAAAAAACAAACAAACAAACAAACAAAACAAGATAAAAATAAAAATATAGGATCCTTTTTTCTTCCCTTACAGGACTTCCCAGCGAGGGGAAAAAGGAGACAAAGGGTACACTTGCCTTGGAAGCTGCCCACGGCTTCCCCTTCTCCATCCTAGGGGACTGTTTACTTCTCTCTGATAGAGCTGTTTCTCTGTAGATTACATCAACGTTTTGTGCTCCATCTCAGTAGTTTCCTCCGGCAGCACAGAAAGATGTTGAGTTATTGCGCTCACTAAATCATGACGCTCACACCCTGGACATTCTGTGTGAAGGCAAGAGGCACCCTGGGAGCCAGTGCAGCAGTTAGCTAACTTCTTTGGGGGTAATCACAGCTTTCCAGAAGAGAATGGAAGACAAAACATCTAACAGCCACTGAGCCACCTATGCTCCACCTCTAACCTGCTGCTAGAGTGACACTTTTCGAGGACAACCGTTTGCCACACTCCACGGTCCTGCATCTGGGAATGGATCCAGGCGTCTAGGCTGCAAGAGCCTCTGAGCCTCAGCATCCTTGCCTCATACACCTGCGACGTGCGTTCTTCCACCGACAAAAACAGATGGCGGTGTTTCAAGCCATCGCCTCCAGCGGAAAGGTAGATGTGAACGCAGATGAGAAAAAGAGCCTGGAGAAAACTGCAGGAGTGAGAGGAGCCATTTGCGCTCAAAGTGAAATATGAGTGAAAAGAGGTTCACACTGGAAATGTTCTGCAGATCGGTTAGTATGAAGAAGCAATAATTATAGAAGATGTATTACAAATATTTTCAGTGCAAAAAAAAAAAAAAAAGAACAACAATACTGTTTCCTTTCTGAAACGTGTCACACTGAAAGCTACTACATATCAGGATCACCTCACTCAAACATAGACTCTCAGGATTCAACTATTTAATCTGGACTTGAGTTTTCCCCCAAAATTCTTTTCACCATCTAGCTGCACAGTACAGAGCACATGAAAACATTAAACCTATAATTACATTGATAAACCGACCTTCAGGAGGCATCCCCTATACCTTAGCTATGGAGATTAGAGTATTTTTTAATTTATTAGATTGTAAAAATCTAATAACGTACAGAATAGAAATCATGCTTAAAGTTTACTTTGATAGAAAAAGCAGAACATGGAATTGCTGGATTATATGTTAGCACCAGTGTACGCATATGTCCAAACTCCCCAAATTGTATACATTATGTGCAGTTTTTAATAGCAATTATACCTCCATAAAATCAGAGAAAAAAGAAAAAAGGCAGAATGTGAAGCAAAAGGGGGGAAATGAAATGACTTAAATATATTTCCTGTAAAAATTGCAATATCTTCTGACATAACCAAATATTTGCTGTGACGTAGTCTGAGGCTTTGAAATGGATAAGGGCATGGTTAGTGCTATTCTGGTGCTAGGGTACGTTTCCTGTGAAAGGACCACCCTTCTCGGTGTGCTATCTTCCCCTGAAATGTGCTCCTGAAGTTAGATCACAGGACGAGTGGCCGTATATCAAAGTGAAGAGCGTAGTTAATCTCCAAAATTAAAACCCTTGTAAATATCAACCAGATGATTGCTCCCAGAAAGTTCTTTCCAGGATATAGCGGCACAAGACAAAGTCGATGCAAATACCGAAGAGAGATTTGATAAGACGATGGCAGAGGACCTGAAAAGACCAGTTCCTGCTGAGGATTTTTTTCTCCATTTATTCAAGAAGCACGTGTAGTTATGTTTGTAGCCAGAAATGAAGACGGTGAAGCACCCAAGCAACCTGTGAGCCCACAAATGTGTGTCTGCAACTGTAAGTACCACACTGGAAAAACATGCCAAGATGGGCAGCATGAGGGCGCTTGATTTCAGTAGATTAGTCCTGCAAGCACAGACTGCCCTCAAAAAGAGCAAAGAAGTAAGGCTATACCTGGACTATGATAGATTGCTAGTAAATGATAGGAAATTCATAAATACATAGATACGGTCATGTACTGTGTAAGGATGCTTCAGTCAATGCTGAACCGCGTGGAAGACAGCAATGTTTCAACCAGATTACAAAAACGTATCTTTTCTGTGTTTAGATATACAAATACTTACCATTGTGTTACAGCTGCCTACAGCATTTTTCACGGTAACATGCCGTCCAGGTTTGTAACCTAGGAGCCCCAGGCCGTACCGTACAGCCAATGTGTGCAGGAGGCTATATCACCAGGTTTAGCATAAGTCCTTTGTCATGTTCACACAATGACTGAATCACCTAATGATGCATTGCTCAGAATGGGTCCCTGTCATTAGGTGATGCATGCCTGTATTTTGCAAGTCATACACTCTCTGTTACTTTCACCACTCGTCATTTCATCTTAACAACACCAGAGGGAGAGGCGGAAGCCAAATGCACACCAACATAAATATCCAGGCATCTTTTCTTACTCTCCCCACACAGTAGCCCCACGATAGATAAAACTGTTAAAACCGTCCATGGTGGTTAACAACAACTACTCTACAATGGAACATGTTTTTGTTTTACTGGTCACATTGAGAGTGACTTCATCTCCTCCCCTCCCTTCCTCACTCTGATCCTTGAATGCCAAGCCCATCATCCCCAGGACCAGTGCACATGCTGTTTCCTCTTGCACACGAGCACTCTCTAGGCATCTGCGAAACTCCCTCCTTCAGTTCCTCAGGTGCTGTACAAATCTCTCCTACTAGAGGCTTTCCCCAGTCACTCAGTAAAATCATACCCGCTCCTGCCCCTTGCGACACTTCCTCTTTCTCTTTACTTATTTTACTATTCTCCAAATATGTGTTGCCATTTGACAGGCTATATATATTTTTGTTTGCTTGTTTGCTATTTTTCTTACCTCCTAAAATGCAGGCTCCATGAGGGATGTCTTTCCGTTCAGTGCTGGATTTCCAGTTCCTGGGCACTTTCTTCCACATGGCAGATTCTCAGTAATTCTGTGCTGAATAATTGAATAAATTATTTAATTCTAATGTAATTAAAACTCCACTAAACTTCATGTTTTCTATCCTCCTCCACAAACTAGGAATGTGGTCATCTTTCTAAAGCACAGATAAGATCAGGTTTCTCAATCCCCTGCACTGGTAATGTCAAAAGCAAACAGGGACATGAGTAACTTAGGAGGCTCCCCCAGGAAGACAGAGTCCAAATTCCTTAACCTAATTTATAAGACTTTTAATGAATTTTTAATGATCTGCCTTTTGGGTGTATCTCCAGATTGATTTCCCACTATTTAATTATCACGTGTTAAAAGTATGGATTTTGGAACTTAATTTATTGGGTTCAAACATTGTCCTCATCACTTATTACCTGTGTGTTTATAAAATTTCTGCAGTTTTGTTTTCTCAGCAGTAAAATGAGGATGATAATAGTATCCATCTTGCAATTTGTGTTTTGAGAAACAAGTGTGTTAAAATATGTAAAGTACTTAAGGAAAAAAAAAAAACCTACTAAATACATACCTAGACAGTGATCTAGCAGGTCAATTCCTAGGGATTTACCAAAGAGAAACGAAAATACCAGTTTACGAAGAGACTTGGACATATTTTCATAGCAGCTTTATCCATGATAGCCCCCAAATTGGGAAGAGCCTACATGTCCATGAATGGGAGAACAGATTTAAAAATCTGTAGTGATGCTGGCAAGGCTGTGGAGAAACAGGAACGCTTCTACACCGTTGCTAGGAATGTAAATTAGTTCAACCATTGTGGAAGACAGTGTGGCGATTCCTCAAAGACCTAGAGGCAGAATACCATTTGATCCAGCAATCCCATTACTGGGTGTATATCCAAAGGGATATAAATCTTCCTATCATAGAGATACATGTATGCGTATTTTCATTGTGGCACTGTTCACAATAGCCGAGACATGGAATCAGCCCAAATGCCCATCAATGATAGAATAGATAAAGTACTAAATAAATAATGTACTAAAATGTAGTACATATACACCATGGAATACTGTGCACCCATAGAAAGCAATGAGATCATATTTCTTGCAGGGACATGGATGAAGCTGGAAGCCATTGTCCTCAGCAAACTAACACAAGAACAGAAAACCAAACAACACATGTTCTCACTTATAAGTGGGAGCCGAACAATGAGAACACATGGACACAGGGAGGGGAACAACACACACTGGGGTCTGTTCAGGGTTGGAGGGAGGGAGAGCATCACGATAAATAGCTAATGCATGCTGGGCTTAATACCTAGGTGATGGGTTGATAGGTGCAGCAAATCACCATGGCACATGTTTACCTATGTAACAAACCTGCACATTCTGCACATGTATCCTGGAACTTAAAATTAAATTAAATTAAAATTTAAAAATAATAATAAAAATAAAAATCTGTAGTATAGTCATACAATGGAATACTACTGAGCAATAAAAAGGAATGAACTATTGATACAGGCAACGACAGGGATGAATCTCAAAGACCTCATGCCCAGTGAAAGAAGCACCGCACAAAAGCAAACAGTGTATTGATAGAAGATTCTGGAGGAGAAAAAAATAATCATGGGAGAGGAAGAAAATCAGAGGAGTGCTTGCCCCTTAGAAAGTGGATTGAAGACTCACTGGGAAAGGCTTGAGGAACTTTCTGGGGTGGTGTTAAGTTTCTGTATCCTGGTAGAGCATTGAATTAGAAAGATGAGATTGTGCTGAAATTTAGAGAGTGTACACTTTCAATTTGTGCAATTCATTTCACATAAGTTTTACAGGAAAAGAATACAAGTAAATGCAAAATTTTAATTTGTGATAGGCATACTTCAATATTTAGTAGGAATTTTAACGATGTCTGCAATTTACTTTCAAACGCACTGAAAACAAATGAAAATTAATTGCTGGATAGAAGGTTGGAAGAATGGATAGACATGAAAAAGTTTAGTTAAATGTTAATGGTAGCATGGAAGTGGTGAGTATATGGATTCTCACCTAAAAATTCCTTTAACTTTGCTATATCTGAAAATTTTCATAATAAAAATTGGGAAAAATACAAAAGGAGTGTAGCAAAAATATTAATTTAGGTTATCATCATGTAAAATGATTCCACATTTACAATTGCCCATAAAAGTAAACCCGAGCCTCTTTCTTTTAGATCTTTGAGACTCAGTATTACATATTGCCTGACAATTATTGACGTATTTATCCTACACTAGCATTAACCATATCTTTCTTCATTGACTATTTTTATAGAACAAAAGTTAAATGAGCCCAGTCTTTTGCAATTAATTTTTATAGCATCATTGATTAGATTTCCCCAAATAATTTATTTCTCACTACATACCCTAGAAGGTAATTCCATTTAATATTGTGGTGTAACATTTTAAACCAGACTGCTTCAGCGTACCATTGAAAGATTTACGTAGGTCTGAAGCAAGAGCTATTTCTGCCTAATGATCTGTATGTAAAAGCAACAGCAATATAGAAGGTAGGAATAATCAATCTATAAAATGTTATCTATCTCCTAAGAGTTGTCTAAGTAATCAAAGATTTCCTGGTGTGGGTCATAATACATTGCAGTGATTCCAGTTAACTAAACACTTAAAATATATGTTTCTCTTGAATTTAACATTACCTCTGCACTGCTGGGATAGTAAACCATTTTGTGAGGCCCATTCAAATATACAACCTAATTATCTAATTCAGTCAGTAGATAAAATAAAGCTTTTTTAAAAATTTTTATTTTTATTTTGCAGGCTGCAGGGCGCCAGCTAAACTCTCTGGGAAGTTGCAGGAGGCACAGATACAGCCTTAACCTTGAAGAGTCTTCCATCAGAGACATTTCAAGGTGGAGCGTGAAAACGAAGAGAAAGGCTCTGCTCTAACAGAACTTTCTGCCCAGCCATAACACAAAGATACCATGAAAAAAATAACAAAATACTGTCATAAGAAACTGGAACACAAATAAAGATACAGTACTCCAAAGTACCCAGGATGCCAATTATAACTTACCAATATAACTTCAGGTTGTTAATAAATACTTCATAGGTCTATAATTTCATAGTAATAGTTTAATATTGAATTTAGAGGAAAAAAGAAAAAATATATTTTTAAATCCTATACTCAGCAATGGCTAACATTTATTGACCAATTATTTTATTTTATAACATTTTATATAACTCATAAAACAATGCTTATATAAAAATTCACACAAAGTGACTAGAAAACATACAATTTCCAAAAATGTCCTGGGTTTTTGTTACATTCCGTTTTCCAAAAATGCACTCAAATTAATGGTAAAATGCAGACATTATGTGATATTTCATTCTTTGGTAAAACTATTCTTATTATTTTGTCTCCTCAAAAGATAAACTCTGACATCTCCTTTGCACGGGAGCTGCTATTAACATCACCAGGAGAAAACTGTTAAAGCTGGATCTGGGAGAGGCAAGTATTTCCACATGGCAGTAATAGCTCCTTAGTCCCCACCCCCACTTCAGTACCTTCACCTGGTCCATCTACACTGCCAGGTGGGGTAAGAGCTCAATGACCTCCAAGCAGGAGGCTAGAGACCCCCTCTCCACTAAGCAAGTTGCAAATGTTTGGGGGAAAGGTGGGAATGGAGGATGTCTCTGCAGGAACCCAAGTCACCGTACTGTGGTGTGGTCAGGCCAGTGACTCTCACCATGTAGGGGGCCAATTGTTCACCACTGAGTAGATGCCAGTGGCTGGTGGATGGCTGCTGCTGGTATGATGTCCCCTCCCCATAAATTTAAACTTAAAAGACCATCTTTGTTCTGATCATTTCCCAAGTGAGAGCCACGAGTCATATTTCTTTTTTTTTTTTTTTTTTTTTTTTTTTTTTTTTGAGACGGAGTCTTGCTCTGTGCCCCAGGCTGGAGTGCAGTTGCGCGATCTCAGCTCACTGCAAGCTCCGCCTCCCGGGTTTACGCCATTCTCCTGCCTCAGCCTCCCGAGTAGCTGGGACTACAGGCGCCCGCCACTGCGCCCGGCTAATTTTTTTTTGTATTTTTAGTAGAGACGGGGTTTCACTGTGTTAGCCAGGATGGTCTCGATCTCCTGACCTCGTGATCCGCCCGTCTCGGCCTCCCAAAGTGCTGGGATTACAGGCTTGAGCCACCGCACCCGGCTACGAGTCATATTTCAACCTCTATGATCTTTATATCCACCACCAAGGATCCTTCTGACTACCACCCTTGCATTATGAAAACTGGGCTAGAAATTCCTCTTGATTCCAACTTAAAAGCTTCATATGCTGTCTAAGACACATTTCTATGTACTAAATAAATAAACAGATTTCAAAGCAATCTGTGCTATAGCATCGTGTAACCATCTAAGCCATAAAGTTCTATATTCAATAATTTAACAAAAATAGCTCAATTTTATCTTCAAAAATTTTCTGAATAGAGACACAAAGCAAATACATCTTTAAAACCTTTGGGAAAGAATCACATAAAACTAATTATAATCTATAATTCAGAGCTTTGTTTTTCACAAAGGTAATAAATTAAACATTCTCCTTTGAGATTTCTTTACTGTGCAAAATGAGACCGATTAGGTCAAACTGTTCTTATTACCACTTTTTGACATGCTAGTCAGAGATATTAACATTTCCAAAGAGAAGTGGAAAATATACCAGAGTTTGAAGAAGAATTTGGGATAATTAACCTAAAAGTAGATGTTGATTATATTCTTTCCCCTTCCTTGATTATATTGTTTATCCTTCCCCGATTCCTATGAAATTTTCTCCTATAAAGCAATGGTGAGTTGAAAGAAAGGACAGCAAAATGTATTCACAAATATTTTCTTTAAATTCAGTCTAATCATCCCACCAAAGAAAGAAATGGCACAAAGCCAACATGCTCTCAGGAATGGGGCCTCCATGTGTTTCCTCTCCTCTCCTCTGCAACAGGACTTCAGCCTTTGCACTAAGCATAATCCCGCCCTATTTCATCCTAGATCCTTCTGTGGTCACAGAGGAGTCAGAACTGGGCAGACTCTTCCTTTCGTGCCTGAATCCTCCTGGTCCTTCCAAGTGTCTTTCTAATTGCAGTCCTTCAACATATTCTGCTCCTTTCTTCCTTCCTTTCTTCTGCTTGCTTGTTTGCTTTCTCTCTCTCTCCTTTCTCTCTTTTCTTTTTCTACTTTCCTTCTTTCCTTCCTTCCTTCCTTCCTTCCTTCCTTCCTTCCTTTCTCTTTCCTTCCTTCCTTTCTCTCTCTCTCTGTTTTTCTTTCCGTCCTTCCTTCCTCTCTCTCTCTTTCCCTTCCTTCCTCTCTCTCTTTCCCTCCCTCCCTCACCCTTTCTTTCTCTTTCTTTCTTTCTTTCTCTTTCTTTCTTTCTTTCTTTCTCTCTTTCTTTCTCTTTTTCTTTCTTCCCCTTCCTTCCTTCCTTTCTTTCTTGCTTTTTCTTTCTTTCTCTCCTTCTTTCCTTCTTTCTTTTTCCTCCCTCTCTGTCTCTCCTTCCTTCCTTCCTTTCTTTCTTGCTTTTTCTTTCTTTCTCTCCTTCTTTCCTTCTTTCTTTTTCTTCCCTCCCTCCCTCCCTCTCTTTCCTTCCTTCCTTCCTTCCTTCCTTTCTTTCTGACGGAGTCTTGTTTTATCACCAGGCGGGAGTGCAGTGGCATGATCTCAGCTCACTGCAACTTCCACCTTCTGGGCTCAGGCAATCCTCATGCCTCAGCCTCCCAAGTAGCTGGAATTACAGACGCCCACTAGCATGCCCGGCTAATTTTTAGTAGAGACAAGGTTTACCATGTTGGCCAGACTGGTCTCAAACTCCTGGTCTCAAGTGATTTGCCCGCCTTGGCTTCCCAAAATGGTGGGCTTACAGGCATGAGCCACCACGCCTGGCCCAATATAATCTATTTCTGCCAATTCAACATAATACACAAAATACACTTATGGACACACACACACACGCCCATTACAACATATCTTTCCAAGGCATATTATTTAAAATATTTTTTTCTCCTATTTTAATGCCAAAAATATGTTTTCTTCTCCTTTGATCCTAGGTAGCCAATTCCCTTCATAGAACTGTGCTGTTGAAAGCAGTATTTGTTGAATAGTACTCATGTTCTATAATGAGTTTAAATAATGATGGTCATTGACCATTGTTTTAGAGGTAGACCCTTATATTAAATGCATGTTAGTCCACATGGCTTGCTTCCTTTTTTCTTTTGAGACAGGGTCTTGCTCTATTGCCCAGGCTGGAGTGCAGTGGCACGATCATAGCTTACTGTAACCTCAACTTCCCAGGCTCAAGCGAGTCTCTCATCTCAGCCTCCCAAGTAGCACGGGACTTTGCCATGCTTATTAACCCATTTCCTAGGTATTAAGTCCTGCATGCATTAGCTATCTGTCCTGATGCTCTCCCTCCCCTCACCCTCCCCCCCAGCAGGCCCCAGTGTGTGATATTTCCCTCCCAGAAATAAAGATTTAAAGAAATGTCTATGAAGAAATACTAGGTAACCATTTAAAATAAAGATGTAGACGTGGTGCAGTGTGGCTCACCCCCCTGTAATCCCAGCACTTTGGGAGGCCAAGGCAGGTGAATCACTTCAGGTCAGCAGTTCAAGACCAGACTAGCCAACATGGTGAAAGCCCATTTCTACTGAAAATATGAAAAAAAAAAAAAATTAGCCAGGCATGGTTGTGCATGGCTGTGTCCCAGCTACTCAGGAGGCTGAGGCTGAGACTGGTGAATTGCTTGAACCCAGAAGGCAGAGGTTGCAGTGAGCCAATATCATGCCACTGCACTCCCACCAGGGCGATGGAGCCAAACTCCATCTCAAAAATAAATAAATAAATAAATAAATAAATAAATAAATAAATAAAAGTTAATGTAAAATAAAGACAGATAAATATTAGTTGGCGTGGAAAGACATCTATACTATGTTGTTCAGCCAAAGGAACAGGCTACACATAACATAATCTCAACTTTTATTAACTTAAATATAGGATTGTAAATGCATGGGAAAAGGGTCAGAAAAGAAACACCCCAAAATGTCAACATCACTTATATCTGACTCGTGAGGCAACAGGAGATATAACTTGACTTTACTTTTTAAAAAATTCTAAAATATTTTCTTCAGAGAACACAAGTTATTTTTATAGAGTCAAGATATCCTCTAATTGGAAAAATGTTTCACAGAAATTATTGATTTTCTGCCCCATTATCTCCCCCAGCCCCACCCTGTACAGAAGGATTAGCGAGTTCACGTGGTCACTCACATTTCATGACCCGTCACGTCACGGGTGAGGCTGCTGTGTGTGCAGACATCACACTTATAGATACGCATCCTTTTTCCTTCTTGCTTCTGTTCGACCAGGGATGCTTCCCAAGCCTCAGGTCTGCCCGCGTGCTCCCTATGCTGTTTCTGCTGTCTGGACCCTTTCATCCTCTCCACCCTCACAGTAGGTAAGCCTGAAACAGAGCCAGGAGACCCCAAAACTGAGTTTGGGCTCAGTGTAGTGAAGAGGATATTTGTGGCTTTAGGTCGGGCACCATTCTCCAGCCATGCTTGCTAAAGTGCTCTGCAGATTTTGTGTACAAGTACAGCTAATAATCGAATGTATACTCAATTTATTTCTCTCCCATTGTCTCCTTAGGTCTGTAACTCCCTCAGGAGTCCCCTAAGGAGAAGTCATGAGGATTTGAGGTAGGACCAGGCATTCATCAACCCCCTAAGCAAATACCACTGAATAACACTAGGATTTTGCCCCTGCCAGGGCTGGCTTCATGAGCCCTTGATCTGGGTTGTCACAAAGAGTTTCCACCTTTAGAAGGGCCCTGGGCTTGGTTCTGCTGTTGCTATCTTGAAATCCTTAAAATTTTTTGAGCAAATGGCACTGGGCCCCACAAATTATGTAGCTGGTTCTAACCCTCGCCCCAAACACTGAATTTCTTTAAAATAAAAGTGACAAGGTCAAAATTTATATATTGGGGAAAAGAACATAGGAACATTCCTTTCTTTTTGGATTACCAGTTAGTACAAATAACAGTGAGAAGAACAAGTCTCTTTCCTTCCTAGAAAACCACCTGAGTCCTTACCTTTTGAACCTGACTATAGATTTGCATTTGAGAATCATTTTCAGAGAGGTGAAGTAAAAGCTCTAAGTGGTCTGCACTGTTATCGAAAGAATGGAATAGAAGTTCCTAAAAAATGAAAAATTGTTGATAATCCAGATCTCAAGATTCCAGTTTTGTAAATATTTTTACTTAGAGTGACTAGTGTTTGGGGGTTCTAAACTCATGCCAGGATTAAATTCACATTGTAAATAGGAGAACAAAGCTTGTGTGATGAAGCCAATGAAGCGTTCTTGGATTTTAAACAGTCATTGATTGGCCAGGAGGTCAGCTAGTAAATCAAATTGTGACACCGTCGAATGCTACCACCATTGATTTTTTTCATGCCATTTCAGAGAAAAATAGTATCACTCATCCTTCCCCAGAATTTAGTTCAGAGGTTTATGGTCATGGCCTTTCTAATCAATGTCAAATTTCCACTGGGACAAGGTCAAAAAAGCTGTCTTAATTGAAACAATAACTGGAGATCAGAATAAAATGTTTTTCTATCCACAGTCAGCATACAGTTCTGTTTGTCTCTTTTAGTCCATTTCCCTGCCAACAAATTTATGTTAAATGCATGTAATATTCCAATCTGTTAAAAAGATTTGATATAAAGTGAAAGAATAGTGTATTATGAATAACTCTGTTGTTGACAAGCTCTAGGGACGTACTGTTCTTGTTTTAATTCTATTAAAATGGATATGGGTCCCAAATGCTAGACTCTTTCTTATGTTTACAGCAAAATGGGTCAAAGGAGCATTAATTCAGGTCCAGAACTGTCATATCTGGTCCTAGGTTCCGTACAACTAATGAGACTTCACTGGTATTTGCTCACACGGCCTGCCCAGCCCTTAGCATTCACAATTTCCATTGACAAGGTTATTGGATTCAAAATGAATGTTTACATTGAAAGGGGAAACAAGTGTCAAATATGAAGCTCAAATAGATACTCCAAGCTGGAGAAGTTTATCATGGCTTAAACCGTCTACTGTTTATTCCCCCTAATGAAAAGCAAAGACAATAGGAGACATGGGGATAAGTGTAATGAAGAGAAACAATACCAGGATTCTTAGAGGTTAATCCAGGCACAACAGAGTTAATCTGGAAGAGGGTAGGAGAGGTTTTAGGCTAAAGACTCAGACAAAAACTTGTTACTTTTGATCCAGTTGTACCCAATGAATGACTCTATTTGCAAAGAAGATTTTGGATTTTCAAACCAGTGGGACAAAAGTTACATCCTTGATTTTTCTTGTTAAACACACTTGTGCTTGTTTCCAGAATAAATGATGTCACAGATCTTCATTTTCCTCTCAAACAACAAAACAAAAGGAGCATAACAATACAGATACTTAAGAAAGCACAGAATTTGTCCTAAGACTGAAAAGTCCCTGAGAGCCAAAATGTATTTTCAACAGATGCTACAATAATTACTTTATGAAGCAGAGAAGAAATGCTATTTTAATATCCCAAAAGTTAAAAGATAAAAACAACACAGTGGATTCATCATCACAGGTAAATATAGTGCTTGGAAATATTAATTTGTTTTAAAATTGTATATTCTGCATTATTATAACTGAAATATAAAGTCAGATCAATGAGATTATAGGAAAATGATTAAATGTAAGTGTACGGCTTTGCTTCGCATATTTGCAAAATCTCTGCCTTGCAAAGCTAAATGTACAAACTTTCAAAATATGAGTTAATTAAATTCACTTAGGATTTTCCTAAGGTAAGAAACCAAACATAACCTGGGGTGGGGAGGCAGGATATTAAAATCAAATTAATATTTCTGAGAACTAACCATGTTATTTGAATTCCATAGCATAACTTCAAACATGTCACTGAGCACACCCTTATATGAAAATCCCCATGGATTAAATCTGAGCCTCTGTCACATAAATCATAAACTATGCCATGCATTACACCTGAATGAATGGAAAAATCCCAAAACAAAATAACTAAGACCAAATAAAAGTAATAGCACGGCCTTTTGGTGAATAGGTAGGTATGAAAGGGGAGAGAATGTTACTGCCAAAATGTTAAATCAGAATTGTCTTAAACACAACAAAGTGTTTTTATGTGATTTTTCATATTTCTAAAAGACAGATTTTATTTCTAATGGCAACTTTTTTATTTTCCTTTCCTAATTTGAAATGTTAATATGAAAATGTATTATATGGAATATGAAAACAACCTTCTTACAAAAGATTATTAAATGTATCTGCCAGTTAAAAAAGCGTATCTTAATCTAAAAAGATAACATAAAAATTATAATAAACCTTAAGTGTTATTTTGTATCTACCATTGTTATTCCTATTGTTTAAAAAACGAGTTTGAAAGCAAACAGGTGCATTCGAAAAGGAAGTATGTTTATAAGAGATTCCTCTTGAATCCTATTAGTGAAGTCATATTTGATCTTATTGCTTAAATTATTGTCATGTTCTAGGGTATCATCTTTACACCGAGTAAGTTGAAATAAACACAATTTATAAAGCAATAGTTAAAAATACATTTCTCATAGATATGTTTTGTTTTATTCTTAGCTGTTATTGGGTGGTTCTGTTTTTAAAAGTAATTTGTAGTATCATATGCTCAATTTTCTCAGATTATTCAAAAGTTTCTTGGCAACAACATTCTTAAAATAAACGAATGGATTAATATGTAAAAATAAATGTTTAGGTAACGTACTTAGAAGAGCTTGCCCGCTGGAATATGAATAAGACCTTCAACAACTGACATTATTTCATCCAAAGAACAAAGAGAAACCAGGAAGTTGTCTGAATTTACAAGAAAAACATGTTTGCTTGTTTTTGTGTCTGTCTCCCTGCAGAGGACAGAACAAAGGTCAACAGACTTAGGTCAATGTAAGTCAAGACTTTCAGAATTATAGCTATACAACCATCAAAATGGCTGTGTTGAGGCATGGCGAGATTCACATCACTGCAATTATTTAAGAGAAAATGGATAAACTAGATAAATTGCCTTTCTGCTAAAAGGAAAGTCTTTATGAGTTGGAAGTTGAACTAAATGACCCCAAAGGTCTCTCAGTATATTACATTCAACACACATTATGAGTAAGCCAAAGGGGTATCATTTCAGATGTGTGTGCACACATTTACTCAGAATTCATATAACTTGAGGAACCATGCTCAGATTCAGCTGCTTTTGGAAAAAAAATCGTGAGACCCATCCAGGCTAATACTAGAGGTAACTAAGTAAACATCTTGTAAAATGTGACATTCTGAATGTCCCTGAAAACGTTTAATCCTTTTCCGCTTCAATCGTCTCTTCCTCAGCTTACAGCATGTGGGTGTAACTCAACTAATATCTCTTGTGGTGCTTCCCCAACCCACCAGTGTTTGTGGAATGCATATACACGATTGGATTGCTTGGGCACATCCTGTTTCCCCAAGAATTCTGAAAAAGGTGAAGGGCAGAGAGTAGGTGAAGAGAATGGAGGAAGGGGAAGCAAAACAAACAGGTCCTGTGGAGGGAAATAAACCCCTGAGATTTTCACAGGAAAAGGAACATGCTTTAATTTGGCTTTAATACAACTAATATTCCCTCTGAGAAGCCTTTCCTTTCCCCCAGTTCTGATTGGGGACCCTGTCATGTGGTCTCCAGCCTCCTGGACTTCTTCCTCTCCTATCACCTTTGTCTCTTCTCCTATCACCTTTGTCTCTTTGCTGAAAGTGACTGTGTGAGCATCTGTTTTCCCTATGGAAGGTAAGATCAGTGAGCCGGGGCCTGTTTCCTGTTACAGAGTAAACACGCATCAAATGCTCACCGGGTATCCTGCATATGGTGTCTCAATGTCACATCAACTCTCTGAGGTGGCTGCTAGTTATGATGCCTCGGAGACATCTTAATACCGTGGCTAGGAGCAGGGACTTCAGAGCCAGAGGGCCTGGATTCTAACCCTTAGGCAAGGCAATTACTTCATCATGCCTCCATTTTGTTGTCTGTAAATGGGTCTAAAAATGGTGCTTACTTCAAAGAGTTAATGCGTACTAAATAATTTAATAGGTATGTGGCACTGTGAGCAGTGCCAGGCACAGAATAGATGGTACAGAAATGTTAGCTGGTATTACCTTCCATTTTGCTGATAAGTAAACTGTGGCTTAGGGAAACCAAGTCACAGGTGGTGAATAGAGAATTTATCTTACTCTTACAGGCTATATCTACAACACTGCCTTAAACGTAAAGTATAAAAATGTTTTTATTCCAAAAACAGAGAACAACCATAGGTAATCAGTAAGTGTTATTAGAGGGAAAGAATGGTAGAAACACATCTCCCTCAGTACAGCTGCCAAGGCAAGCTGGCCAGGGAGGGACAGGTGGAAGCCATGCCGGAGGACGGCAATGTGGCAGGGCAGGGATCCACAGACCCCAGGTGTCATGACTTTGAGAAGCTTGTCTCACTTGGAAGCAGCCTGTGAGACTTTGATGGTAGGCATTAATTCCTAGCATCTGACTACTGTTTAGAATGTAGTTTTTTCTTTCCTAACTAAGCATAATCATTACGCTCTTTTGATTTATAGCTCCATCTCCAAAAGAAACAATTGCACATACATATCAGTTAGTTAGCTGTGACACAGGAATCCTCGGGGATTTGTCATTACCCAAGAATTTCTGTCATTTCAGATGAATTTTCCACCATGTTAGATGCCAGGGACAGGCAACAGGTTCAATAAGCATACATTTACTCAACAAATGTTTAATTGAGCAACTGCTATAGATCAGACACAATATTAGATGTAGGCATTTATGATGCAAAGGTAGGCGAGACAAGTTACTTTTTAACTAAAATCTTTCTTTAATGGTTGGTGCAGGGGAGTGATTAATTACCTAAGGATAGAGAATATATCTAGATTCTCACCTTGTGGCATACATTAAAATTAAATTTCAGATGACTAAAATAATTAAGTGTAGAAAAAAACTAATGTAAACTATAAATGAATGATTTGGCTTATTGGTGGAGTAGATCTTTCCAAACCAATAAGCTCAGAAAAAAAAATTGAACATCATACAATGAGATTAACTCAAAATTGATATGTGTGTGAATCAAAATATCAAGATAATAACAAACCAGGAAAATATTTACAATAAATATGAAAAAGTCAGCAATCTGGAATCTGTCTTGCTGCTCAAAACCACACAGAGGCGTCTCGGAAGCCCAGCGTGTGGTCAGTTTATAACCAATCCCGCCACTGACTGCTTTACTCCAGGGTCTGGATTAATGCTGAAGTGCTCTGATGTGTGCTTAAGTTCTAATACTGGTTTTAGACTTTTTCCCCAAATCCCTACTGCTTGGTATTGGGTTTTATACCCAGTGGAATTCTTACAATGCTCCTTCCCCAACCTGGACCGTATCACACACCTGCAGAGAACAGCATAAACTGGTCAGTCCAACACAAACATCTGGTGGGTCACTTAGAACCATCTCTGAATTAGGGCTGACCTGGTCCCACTTTCTTGGTGACAACAGGAGTTATGTGATGGACACTCTCCTTCGGGAATGAGCTCTGCAAGTTTTCTATCCATCCCCAGATTCCTCCCCACTGGCCTCCTGCTAAGATGCAACTAGGTCTCAGAACCTAGCCTATCTGGGTAATGACAAAAGAAAGAAATCACCTATGTTTATTTTATGTTAAACAAAAAAAAAATTAATTTTTCTTTCTCAACTCAAAGGGTTGTCCTAGATTTCAGTTATAAAATGTGGAGTATTCAAAGGACATGAGAAACACGTGGAGTAGAGACAAGAGTTTGATCTCGCCTGGTAAAGGGTAGGCATTAGGCATGTGAACACCAGCACTCAGCATTTATAAAGTGCTTACAAAAACTAGGCAGTAAGCATCATGTGACTTGGACCTCTTAGTACATTATAAAAACTTCCCTTCCTCACAATGTGATAATATTTGCTATTTTTAAAGTTGCACTGTCTTTTAAAAGTTGCCATATTAAAGAAGAAAAAAATTAGGTGTTTGTTTCCCGTTGTGTACATTGCATTCCCTCCCGAAATTCATGTCAAATCAGAAAGTTGGGAGGCTTACTGAAGTGGAAACAGGAAATAACACCAATACACTTCTAACCCACAGGTTTCCCAGCCCCATTAAAATTCAGCATGTGGAGGAGGTGCTGGAGGGAACTAACAAGAGCGTCCTGTAACCCAGGAGGCCAAAGATCAGCCTCCTCCATTGATGGAAATTCCATTAAATGATGTTTATTTGTACCTAGGGTGAGGTTACTAATGGAAAGGCCTGCAGCCTGCAGTATTTAGTGTCATTTTGCAAATTTGTCAATGAATTACAAGATACATAACATCATCCTGAGTTGAGGCTGGGGGATTTTGTTATGTTTGAGGGTATGAATTTTTTTTTTTTTTGAAGGGCAGGATGTGAGAAGGATTGTTTTGAATATATTATTGAAACTCCAGTTCAATCACGAGAAAAACATTAGACAATTTTTAATACAGAGACATCCTAAAAAATACTTAGCCAGTCCTCCTCAAATTGTCAAGGGGATCAAAACAAGGGAAGTCTGAGAAAGTGTCGCAGCCAAGAAGAGTCCAGGGAGACGTGATGGCCAAATGTAATGTAGGATCCTGGATGAGATTCCAAAACAGAGAAAGGACGTTAGGTGACAGCTAAGGAAATCTAAAGAGACTATGGAGTTTTGATTAAAACAATGTATCAACATTGGTTAATTAATTGTAACAAATGTACCATGTTTTGTTTTGTTTTTTTTTTGTTTTTTTTTGTTTTTGAGGCGGAGTCTCGCTCTGCCGCCCAGGCTGGAGTGCAGTGGCCAGATCTCAGCTCACTACAAGCTCCGCCTCCCGGGTTCTCACCATTCTCCTGCCTCAGGCTCCCGAGTAGCTGGGACTACAGGCGCCCGCCACCTCGCCCGGCTAGTTTTTTGTATTTTTTAGTAGAGACGGGGTTTCACCGTTTTAGCCAGGATGGTCTCGATCTCCTGACCTCATGATCCGCCCGTCTCGGCCTCCCAAAGTGCTGGGATTACAGGCTTGAGCCACCGCGCCCGGCCAAATGTACCATGTTAATGTAAAGTGTTAGTAATAGGGAAAAATGTGAGAGGCTGAATGGGAACTCTCTATACTATCTTCTCAATTTTTTGGTATATCTACAGGTGCTCTGAAAAATACTCTTTACAAATTTAAAAAAGTATTATTCAGATTAAAGTCTGTTACTAAATCTTAAGCAAGATAAAGATAACTGACTGATACGTGATAATCACTATCCTTTTCAATATATTTTTTCTTTTTGTTGAGCAAAAAGAAATGTGACAACTTATATTCACATTTTTCTTTTTTATATTTACAGTCTTATGTATTTTATTGATAATTTTTTTCTTATTTTAAGAGTAATGATTTGCCATTGAGGAAAATTAAGAACATACAGGTAAAAAAGGAGAAAATTAAAATCCCATAAACACACACAAGTCAGATAGATTGAGTACAGAAAGGGTATCTCATCTGTTTGAATACCTGAGTTTATCTTAAGAATATACAACAAACAAATAATTTATAGAAACGTAATTTATAATGGCTGCATGCATTTCATTATATTATGGGCCATTCTTATTTGCTCAGGGTCTTATTTCGAGATATTAGAGTTCTTTATAATTTTTAAATTTTTTTCTAAACCCCACTCAGCTGAGCATTCTGTTCATTGTTGCATATATCTGTAATTATTTCCTTAGCATAAATACCTGGAAATGGGACTTCAGGATCAAAAGCTATGAATAATTTTAAGCTGCTTGTTAATGTTGCAAATCACCTTCCCAAATTGGTGCCATTGTATACTCCAATAAACTGTAAGTTCCCTTCATTAATCAAATCAGCCATACAACAAAAATACTTAAAGAGACCTTTCTGTATATCATGTTCTTGTCATAAAAAACTCAAAATATAAAATAGGCTACAAAATAACTTTCAAAAGGAACTCTTACAATCTTAAAATTACAGCATTTTGCACTAAAAAAATTGGTTTCTTTCCCTTGTTGCTCTGTTATGAAATGTAAATTAACATTATTAAATATGAAATATATTAAATAATGAAGGAACAGACATTTGTTGGAAGCTATATGTATTTTTTTCCACTTCCCCCAATAACTAGGCTTTAATTAAAATCCGTTTATAAGCATGTTTATTTTGATAAATTGGTAAATTGAAAATTGATCACTCGAACTCACTGTGTTTTATGTAAAACAGTAAATATAACATAATTATTGTAGAAGGAATTACTTTCAGCCAACAGAAGGAAGTGGGGAAAAAATGTTACTTCGTTCTCTGTAAACTGGCTTCCCTGGCTTTGACCCCCACCCCAGGGCACCAGCATTTTGGGGAATGCAATGTTAGATATTACTGTGTTATCCTCTGTCCCCAGGGCTTGTGGAGATCTTTCCAGGCCCCATGTGGTCCTTGCAGGTCTAGAGGCTCAGCCGCCCCCCGCATAGCCAGGGCGCAGGTTCCTGCAGGTCAAGGACCAAAGACCTCCTACTCCTAACTCTGGGAACAGCTCTTTCCTTCAGCTGGGCTCTAGGCCTGCTCTCCAAAGCCCACCAGGTGCGATCAGGGCAGTCTCGTTCTGCACATACGTACACTTCTGCAAATGAAAACCAGAGTTTGGAGGAGAAGCAGCTTCTGTTTTCCAGCTCTGAACAACTTCCTCAGGCAAAAGCTCCCAAAGCAATGGCTGCCTGCTGGAATCCTGAGTAGGGAAAACCATATATGAAAAAGAAGACACAAAATAGAGTTGAAGCCTGCCTCCCCTACCCTGTCTCCACTCCCCATACACGGAAGTGCTTGCTTGTCCTTAGTGTAGATGGTGTTATCAGCTCTCCTGAGAGGACTTCTCTGGTAATCTTAATACCAGAGGAATTGAGGAATTAGCAGATTAAGGGGAAAAGAAGTCTTTGAACAATTTAAATACAAGGAAGCTGTGTAGACAGCATGCTGGACTTGGAGTCAATTGAGTTCACAAAGTTTTATATCAGGATCTTCACATTCCATTATGGTTGTGCTCAGGCTTTGCTGCACAGTTTTAAGGCAAGGCGGTCTGCTGCGCTTTCACCTTTCTAGAGTGTCACCACGCACCTGACCTACCTCCTGGCCTTAGCTATGCAAGCTGCTCGTATTCATGCCCTCTGTTAGCTCCGGAAGAGTCTCCCGGACAGACATTGTTCCATCATGAGTGTGACATTACTTTCTTTACTTGAAAGGTGGCAATTAACACTTGCAGAGCTGTGCTGAGGGTGGGAAATACAGTTTTGAGGAGTAATTAGTTCACTGGGAAAGCATACTTTTCTACGTAAAAGGGTTCTACCCTCCCCCCACCTCACACTTAAACCGAATCCCCTTCCCCTCCCACATCCAGCCCTCTTTTGGAGCCAGAATTATCTCACCGTCTCTAGACTGTGTGTGCACGTGTTTCTGTGTCTATGAGTGTGCTCAGTTTGGTTCTGTCATAGTTGTGTCCACACTCATCTTCTTTATCAGACTGGATTCTTCCAAAGCCAGGCCTTCCTCTAATATTCACTCTTTCATTCAAATGATGTCATTTTTCCTGCTGTAAGGGAGATCCTAGGTAAGAAAGTGAACTAGACACAGGCAGCAAATATAGGCCATAGCAGGCACATAAATACATGTAGAGGATACTGATCCTCAAATCCCAAAACATAGCACAGTGCTTGGCACATACTGAATTCTGTTTGCTGAGCTAAGTTAAATAGTGGTTGTGTCTAAAATTGAATTTGGATTCTGATTCTTATCCACATCCTGCTCGTCATACATTAGGCAGCCCCTGCCCTAACATGTCAGTTTATTAACATTGTAAACAGATGATTCAGTGTAAAAAATGAACTTTATCCTAAAAAATGACACTGTACTAAAGGCATGTGACCAAGCTTTTCTTTTCTTTTCCCTTTCCTTTCTCCTCCCTCCCTCCCTCCCTCCCTCCCTTCCTCCCTTCCTCCCTCCCTCCCTCTCTCTCTCTCTCTCTCTCTCTCTCTTTCTTTCTTTCTTTCACTATGTCACCTAGGCTGGAGTGCCATTCTCCTGCCTCAGCCTCCTGAGTAGTTGGGATTACAGGCGGCTGCCATGATGCCCAGATAATTTTTGTATTTTTAGTAGAGATAGGGTTTCACCATGTTGTCCAGGCTAGTCTTGAACTCCTGACCTCAAGTGATCTGCTTGCCTCAGCCTCCCAAAGTGTTGGGATTCCAGGCTTGAGCCACTGTGCCTGGCCTCTTTATTTTCTATATGAGAAATTGCTCTCATGCTCCAAACAATAATTATGAGATAATAGTAGTAAAAGGAGATAATGACTGTAAAGAGATTACCTAGAAGTTAAATCTTATTTTGTGGGTGGGAACATGGAGCCTGGATAAATGAGAAGGGCCAATGATGTAAAACATCGATGTTGTCGCCTCTGTGCAACTATCATGAAGGAAATGCATCTGTCTCAAGTTCTTGGATAGTCTATGTATACCTTCATCATCTCAGCAATTACTATGTACAGATTACAAGATTTTCATATTCTGTCTTGAAGTGTATTTAGGCTACTTTAATCTTATATTCATATTCCTTCCAAGACTGTAGAGATTTTGGTGCAGGGACTTAATCTTTTACATCTCTTATATTAATAACTTCATTGAATGTTATATGAATTAATGAAGTGAATGAATACCTTTGATCCAGATTGAGTGCTACTTCTATTTGAATTTCTTAGCTATTCTCACTTTTCTTCACTTTGATCCTATTCACCAAATTTAAGAAAACCTATCAGCTGGATCCCTTTTACTGTCAAGAATTAAAATTTTCTTTTTTGGACCGCAACAGAATTTTGTTAGCAAAGATCTGAGCAAGGACCTATCGCATGTAAATTTAGCAAATACATACGGATGCCTATAAACAACTTGTTTTTATTTTATAAATCAAAGCACTAAATATTTTATTATTTTGTTCCTACACCATAAACAGAATCATTAACTTGACATATTTCAAAGAAAAGCATGTGAGATTGTGTAAGTAATCATTATATAGTCGCTGAAAATTAATCATAAACACTCTTCATTTATAAAAATTGACCCTGCAATATTTTGGGAAAGTTACCTCTTCATTTTGTCAGAAACAGAAATCATTTCAGATACTTCAAAGACATCTTAAAGATAAAAGTTTTAAGAAATCACAAATGACCATTCATAAAACAGAGTCATTGTGTCCCGATGAGAAGCCAATCATGTTTGGACAAATTTAGGAGATGACACGCTAGACCTAGCAACACCCTGAAGATCTTTTCACACATCATTTGGGATTTTTTTTTCTTTTATTTTTGATGGATGGATGAGCAAACTTAAGGAGTTAATGGGCAGATAAAAGTTGAAATGGGAAAGGACAGTAATGGTCAGGCCAGTTAAAAGCTCTTTCCGACACCAACTCCCAGCCCTGCCTCCCCAGTCGATCCCCCTGTGAACTTTTTGTGTTTCATTCATTTTGCTGGAATTGGAAAGGGAGAGGCCAAGAAAAGGCCATATCCTGCTTCATTGCCTAAAGCTATCCTGTAAGCGAGTTTAATGGGTTAGAAGTTAACACCAGTGACAGTTGTAAGAAAAGTTACCAAGTGTTTCCAGGGCCTGAAGAGACTCCCTGCGGCTCAGACTTCTTTGCGCTTCCTTCCACTTTCCTTTTCTCTTATCTATGGAAGCGTCCATGACAAACAGGGGGCATCTGTTAGGAAACAAAGCGGGGGGCTGCTAGAAGTGAGCAAATCCCCCCAACCGCAGGGCCTGGCAAAGAACGAGTTCCAATTACAGCCGATTCAGCAGTGGTGATCAGGTGAACAGATAAGTACAAGCAAAGAGAAATCAAGTTTCCCTCAAATTTACAAACCATTGTTTCCCTTTATTTGTCCTCTAAGAGAGGGCCATCGTTCTCCGTGAGATGTGAGCCCTCTCAGTGACGCTCACTTTCTCTGTGTGGCTTTTATTGTGACCGTTTCTGAACATCGTGTTTTCACATGGTTCCTCTCCAAGTACCTTCCAAAGCACAGGAAGATAGTGACCACAGAAGAGTGGAATTCATCCTGCCAGCTGAGCACAAGAAACGGCTTTTTCCAACACTTCCTCCAAGCATCTGCTTTGTGATATATATTTTTTGACCCCTTTGTTCAAGTGTTGTATACAAGAGAAACATGCACAATTGGTAAGTCCACAGCTCACCGAATTTTCACAAGCTCTCGTGTAACCAGCATTCAGCCCAGGAGACTTGTGCGTTTGATTCCTAGGGCTGCTGAAACAGAATCTCACCAACTGGGGGGCTACCAACAGGAATTTATTGTCTCACAGTTCTGAGGCTAGAAGTTTGAAGTCAAGGTGTTGGCTGGACTGGTTCCTTCTGGTGGACATGGGGGAGAATCTGTCCCGTGCCTGTCTCTGAGCTCTGGTGATGGCTGGCAGTGCATGCTGTTCCTTGTCTCATTGATGCATATCCGCATCTCGGCCTCCAGCTTCACATGGCCTTCTTTCTGTGTGTCTGCATCTCTGGGTATCCTCTCTACTGGTCATATTGAATTAAACTTGATGATATCTGCCAAGATCCCATGTCCAAATGAGATCACATTTTCAGGTACTAGGGATCAGACTTCAACATATTTTTGGCAGGGGAAAGGAGGTGGAATACAATTCAATTCATAATAATGACTATTCCAGATACTCCCCCATCCTCCCTTCCAGTAAACACCCCCACCCCTAAGGGCAGCCGCTTCTGACTTCTGATAGCATACATTTCTTTTCTTTTAAGTTTATTTAAATCGTGCATATCGAGTCTTTGCACTGTAATGTGATCTTTAAGGATGGCTTTCCAAACTTTAGGAGTCACTCAGGTTCCCTGAATGGGTCTCACCATTGACATTCCTGAATAGCAATCTACTACATAAACAGCAGATAGTTTTAAAAGTCAGATAATCTATCATAAAATCCCTTATTTCAAAAGAGAAGAAAGCAAAGTTTCTTTACTGCAATACAGCAGTCATTCTATGGAAGTGGTAAAACTTTAAATGAATGCATCAGATACATTCATGTCAACCTCCTGACATGCATAGCATCAGGCCGTGGACAAGAAATGTAACCGTCTGTATTTCTCAACAATGCATCCACTTTCTTATTTTAAGCCATTACTCCGTGAGGACAGGAGAACCTTAATCTCAGTCAATTTTGTGTTTCTTTCAACTTTTCTTGGGAATTGTGTCTTAGCGTGGAAAGGGGACCCCAGAGAGGGTTTGTGGCTCTCTCAGGTCACCTGGCTTTGCAGGTATCTGCTGGGATGTCTATGGGCCTCTGTGATTTTAGGCTGGCGATAGACCTGTGTGCCGTGAAATGATGCTAGTTTCTGTCCGTCGGCCTCTCAGGTCTTGTAGCTCTACTTCTGAAGACCCCGAGAATCATCCTGTGACTTCTATACCATTAAGAGTCCTGGAATCACTGAGGCCATTTCTTTTTTGATATCTGCCTTGGGTTTTCACCAAAAGAGCCTTTCTTGGGCTTTGCCACCTGCCCAGAACTTGCTGGGCGGCACCCTGTGGAGTCCCCTGCCTGAGCCTCTTTGACACGTCTGCTCTTATTCCAGCCCCTTGCTCTCGGTAGTCCGCCCAGCCCAGGGAAATCTTTTTCTAGCAGAGAGGGAGGACAGCTCTATCTTACTCTATCTCAATCATTCTCCCAATCGTTTTGTCTAAGCCTCAGATCTTCTAAGTTCCTTTGAAGATTTTTTTTTAACACAAGGTCATATTTTAAGCTAATAAACACACCTGGTTGAGTAACTTTGGACAAGTTAATTATTCTAATTAAAGACTACCCTCTTCGGTAAGGAAGAATTAAAAACAGTATCCACCTCACAGGATTTTTTTTTTTTTTTCTGTAGAGGGGGTATAAATTAACTGAGTTGACCTGTATCAACGCATAGAACTGTGCCTGGCACATACAGAGTCTCTATAGTGGAAGTTATTATTATTGTTGTTATCTTGGGATGGAGTCTCGCTCTGTTACCCAGGCTGGAATGCAGTGGCACAAGCTCGGCTCACTGCAACCTGCGCCTCCTGGATTCAAACAGATTCTCCTGCCTCAGCCTCCTGGGTGGCTGGGATTATAGGCACCCACCACCACGCCTGGCTATTGTGTGTGTGTGTGTGTGTGCGCGTGTGTGTGTGTGTGTGTATTTTTAGTAGAGATGTGATTTCACCATGTTGGCCAGGCTGGTCTCGAACTCCTGACCTCAGGTGACCCGCCTGCCTCGGCCTCTCAAAGTGCTGGGGTTACAGGCGTGAGCCATCATGCCCAGCCAGTGACAGTTATTATTAATTTATTTATTAACAGCTTAAATGGACAGGGAGAGAAAAAAACAACAGGAGGGGGAAAAATCACTGCGTTTTCAAGTTAAGGTAACAAATCATTATTTTGTAAACTTACAAAAGTAACTGTAAATCTAAAAACAGAATGATAGAAATGAAGAACTGCAGGGAGACATCCAGAGTGGAAATGCTAATTCGGCGGCATCTGCTCCATTAAGGTAGCT